CAACATCAAGTTTTAGACTCCATCCAAATGATTTCAAGCAATCGACACGCGTTACAAAACTGGCCCCACGTGATATGACCAATAGCTCATATGAGGCAAGAAAACAACAGATGCAGTCGAAATCGCAAAGGCGTAGTAAAACAAAGAAGCTGTCAGCCAACTCCCTTAAACTGTAAATGTCCAGCTCTTACTAGACTGGGCCTCACGCTGTCCCTCGAAGACTTCAGAAACACTTTGTACTAACCAACGCAAAAACCAGAACACTGATTTGTGACTCAAGAATCCTTTATTCTTACGCCAACGTGTAACCAACAATAAGGTTAATAACCAAGGTCTAAGAGTAAATGTTATGACAATAAATCACGATAATACTTCTGATAGTTTTTTATCTTCCACTGAACAGCGAACGATGAGACGATGACTGATGGATTGATGACTCCCGCGAAAAATATGTTGTTGGTTTTGAGCGAACAACCATGAATTGATCGTTCAATATTTAGCTATATTGACAGAAGCTATTACCGATAACTTAAGTTTCGATAGGCCACAGAAGGTGTTTTGGGAATAAATCAGTCAGTGTGGTGAGAGCAGGCTAGCCAAAGATGGTAGACAGCATTTTACATCAATGGGTATGTCGCAAATATTGGTGGTGAGAAAATGTGAACAAGACTGATTCAGCGACCAATCACAGCAGACTTAACGTGGGCAAATATGATTCGCAGATAGATGGCTCCACTTTCCGAGAAAACCCGAAACAATCAATCAGAAGACTGCGTTTGTCTACTTGAATAAGCTATGATAATGTACATGAAATATATATAAATACGTGCTGATTTCCGTAATAAGACGATCTGTTGTCTGGCCCTTGTCTTCTATTGTTACAAAAGCACCAACTTACTAAATCTTTTTCGCCTCTCTGTATTGTTTTTTCACCAGCGGCGTATTGAATTGATCTACTGTTGATTGGCGCTGCCTGCATAATAATCTACCTACTCTATTTAACTAGTGAACGATATATCCAACCGAAATGGGCCTCATCTCCGGACGTCCGCTTAAAATATGGGCTCCCGGAAACCTCCACCACATTGCTGTGTACAACTTCTGCTTCCTACTTTGCCTTAATTAATTAAAATATGACCTCTAATGGTTCTGTATTCTCTCGCGATTGTTTACGTGTTTGTACTCTGCCGGTTCCTAGGTTTCTACTATACTTGAGGAACAGAATGGTTGTAGGTGGTGACTTACTATTCCTGAGTTGTGTCCTTGGAGCTTGAAATGTACTCCTGGGCCTGTGTGTGGCTTTCAACTAAATCTTTAGCATTTCTCGAGGGAGACAAAGAAACAGTATCGTGATTGATCGGCCTGAGCTTGAGGTCATCAAGCAATGCATAACAGGACCCACCGTCAATTGGTGTTTTGTCTGAGGATCCTTTACGAAGAGAAAATATCATGCGATAAACTCCGCTGAAAATTCTGTAAACCATATATACAGTGTCAAAAATAAAGCCGTTACTATTCTTAACAGGTCTGACGGATGTAAGAGACAACCGGCAGGGGGTGCTGACGACTAGCCAAGATGCAATCGCATAACAAAAATGTAGAAAGAGACGAAGACTGATTTGATGCATGCTGTGGTGACTGCTGAGTGACATCGCGCTCCAGGAAAATACTCGAGGAGAGTCTGAGACGAAGAGTTGGGACTGTGTCCACAAGTGACATGGGGGAGGTTGTGAGAGGAGAATACGAGAGATTATGAGCAATCTCATGGCCAGCTAAAGAAGACTAAGGACAACAGGATGAAATCGAGAGGTGATGTTGAAGCCCTACTTTCCACTTAGGATCAAGGGAATAATAAAAAAGTATCACTGGGAAAACTTAGCCCAGTATTTATTCACCCTAAATATCAGCCCGTTCACCATGGCGCAAATTCCCAGGGTTGCGACGTCCGCTTGTAGTCTGATCATACCTTTCTCCTTCCTCACATCTCACATGAAGCACGTGTGTGTAAAATTCTGTGCTGTCCACCTGAGCTTAAATCCTAGTAGTGGCTTGCCGCAGGCTTTAGACTCGACGTGAAATCAGTATTTTCGGTGAGACCTAAGCACAACACTTGTGTTGATAGTGTGGCTTTATTGCATATCACCTCCAACTGTAGCATCCCTGTCTGTGGCTATGTTGGTTTAGTGACAAGTTACGTTTTTTCTATGGTTTTTAAACGAAATTCTGTATTAAAAATCTTTACTGACGTACATAATACCGGGGGCATAATGTACTTGAGCTACGTTACATGTGCTGCACTTGTATCAGTAAATGTCGCCTGATACTGATATCTGCGCAATGTGATGAACTAAATGTGGTAGGGAGTTAAAATTTAAACGTATATCTTTGAATTTTTATGAAATCATACTGGTACATTGTGCCTACTTATTGAAACGCTGTTGCCTTAATGGTTTGGTAGTTGTTGTTGGTACTCATGGCTCAGATTCAGCATTAATTTAAGTTTTCATACAGCCATCACAGTCTGCTTTTCGTTTTAAGAGGTACTCTAGTGACCTAACATTTTCTGAGCAGGAGGCATCACAGACTTGAAAGTCGAGGATGCCCTTAGGATGCATACTCAGGAACTTTACGACAAACTACTTGGGTGAAACTGCAAGAGAGACTACATTTCACCGTGTATGACTTTATATCTTGACCCCCTTTGAACCAGTCAACATATTATAAACCTAATATTCTTCTTTAAGGTCCTACACGAAATATCATTCTCAGACAATAAGGACATATAATTCTCACTGCAAGGCTCATAAGATTTGCGTAACCAAACTTGCACAGTGACAATAAAGGCCTTTAAATCAACGCTCCGCGAAAACTTCTTCACAGCCATGTATTGAAAAATACGGAACAGTTTGTCCCTAGAAGTCAGAACCTGAAACTCGACTATAAGTTTCAAACGCCCTTCGTGCAGACTGTTTTGTTCTACTCATTACATTAACAGACTACTTATTTCTGGAATCAACGCGTGTAATTCCCCATTTACTCTATAAACAACAAGCAGACTAGTCGCATAGATGCATAAAAAGACTAAGAATAAATAAATATATAGATTCACTGGACGGCAATTTACAACAAATATAAGCATACACATGCAAACATTAAGGTTCTATCCGTATCCACACATTTTTTCTTCCCCATTTGGTACTTTGCTGCTTGCCTCCTCTCTTCTGTTTGCCTTGTTGTAGAAGTTGCACAGATCTACAGTAAGGCTGATGCTGGGTAACAACTCAAGTCCTTTACTTATATATCATCCTTCAAGGCTTGGCGAGCAATGGTTCATCATCCTTGGAATATCCACTGTCGCCATAACAAGACGCTGTAGAGCAGCATATCAAAACAGTATCAATGATCGGAAATGGCTTACATATAGCTTCTACGTATCAATGAACTTTGGTGACCAATGGTGTTTTTGGCTGACGTGGGCGCAGTGAAATAAATCTGTCTGACAATAACCAATATTAATCTGCATTGAGTACAATTCACTTCTGATGTTACTTACGATGAAAATGCTGACAGAATTTATGCAAGTAAATCACTCATTGCAAATTAATACCCGATGTAGATATAGATCAAGAGTACGATTTGATGCCGTACACAGCTAAGCTATGTGGGGAAATGACTTCAAGCCTAATCTTTTTCTCAAGTCTTAGTAACCCATCCAATACATACTTGGTTTTTTTGTCAATGCGAAGACAGTCTTTCTATATCTCTTAATGTGCTCCATTGAGTGGCTAGTTGTTCCTAGATTGTTCCCACAAATTATAGACAAAAATGACAGCAACAATCTAATTTAACAATAAACCAAATCTATGTGATTTAAATAATATTTATCCATGCTTGTACAGTTGAGTTGTCCCTACATAAATAGGAATAAATATGTATTATTATTATTCATCACAGCTAGTTGTAAACAACGCAGAACACAACCACACAAAGCCATACACGACAGCACCTGCCTACCCCAAATCAAAAATCCAACTGACTGCTACTGTTCTAGCCAATGAAAGACTAGAAATACCAGAAGTGAGGTAGATTTAAAACGCGAAAGTGTCTCTCCTCACCCACTATTTCTGAAACCGTTCTAGATATGTGGTTAATGTTGTTTTTGCTAAAAAATTGTCAAATAGGATTGGCGACTAAGTGTTTCATCACATTCAGCACTACTGAGAACAGCATTACTCGCCTGTGAGCCTGACTTCAAAACAGGTAATAATACTAACACCCTTCTAAGCACTTAGCAACAGCTGTCTAACTAAAGAACGCCGCTGCAGTGTTTAATCGTCAGTAATTGAATGCTAGGTTTAACGAATTTTGCCGATAAGTCTTCGTTGGTATCCGTGGGACCAGAGTAGGATTTATTCGGAGTCGAGTTGTGTATAACACGTCGGGCAATAGATTCGAATACCTGAGAAGTGGTCTATTGGTTCCTGATTTATAATTTTGCTATTTGCCCACTGAGTTTAAGCTTCGGGTGTTTCGAAGTTGCTAAGGATTTGTAACTATGGCTACTAGTAACAGACATAGTCTCTCACTGCACCGTAAAACGATGTAAATTCATGGGCTCTATTTGCCCCTAACTTATCTTATTTGGGATATACTCCAGTCAGCTTAACTTTCACCGACTCGCCTGGACTTAGATTTGCCGTTTAAAATATCAAAACTCATCTTATTATGTTCTACGCTCAGAAAGCCTGTGTAGAATAATCTTTTTTAATACGCTGTTCACTTTTACGCCGTCATTCGCTCTGGCAACTAAACATGCTTATTTTATCAGATTTATCGATTCGTAATTCACACAAGATCAAATGAAATAATTGAGGAAATATATAATTGACTTAAGGATTCGTAAACATCATATGGATAATCAGTGGTCTCTGTTGCTCGCTTTCGTTCTGTATCAATCGATGTTGAATGGTGAGTACCGATTTAACTGTTTGCGTTACTTGATGGTATCTGTTTTGTTACTGTTCACAAAACTCTTCGGCCTTGTGCTGCTGAAGGTCATCAGCAATATTCTGTTTTTCTCCACCATATGCTTCAGAAAAACTCGGGGAGAGCTTAAGACATCACTAACAGGAAAAACTAAATTGAAAGTAGTCTATTGTCGTGAAGTTATCATTTAGTTATTTAGGGATGTGATGAAACGTCGAATTCAAACAAAAAGATTGGAGTGGTCATCGTTTCGCAATTTTGTTTTCAAAGGAGAGGAGTAGAGGACAAATGTTCTGGTGGTGTTTCCAGGTTTTTGAAAAATTATGCTTTGTTTGAGAGAGTGCTTGGAGAAGTATCTGTTAACGTTATTGTGTCTTGGGTGAACAAGCTCATTCAAAAGGGAGCTTTCATTGCTCGACCACAAAATACAACTTTTTTCCTGGTTTATGCGAAGGATTCTACTGACTTGTGTGACCTAAATAAATGGTTCCACATTTTGCCGAACCACCAACGAACGAATAAATATTTCATGAGCGGCCAGAAAAAAGTAAGCGGTTCATCTGCTGTAAGATACTCCCAATTTTACTGGTGTTTTCAGTAGGTTACTAAGTATATCACATGGCCATTTAGTTATTAAACTGATACGCAACTATTCATTTTCGGTGGACCATCTTCACTATATTTTAGCCTTCCCATTTATCTAATTTTATCTATACAGTCAGGAAGTTAAAGTCATGTGTGGGTTGTGTATATCAAATGAGAAGGAACAAATGAATAAAGGTATAAGGAATTTTGAAGTATGTGCACAGCAAACAAACTTAGGCACCGAGATTTACAATTGATCTCTTCAAGGTATGGAGAGTGACTATAGACATGTTCACCGTAATTGATAGAAAATGGGGTTATAAAATGCACCTCTTCGTAATAAAATTTGGAACGTGCCAGTGCGTCGGTGGCACAGTGGTCAGGACTCTCGCCGACCATGCACATGGTCCGAGGTTCGAACCCCTGCCGACGCACACCTGATATCTATGGTCGGCCTGCAAAATTTGGGCTACTGATATCACATGCTGAAAATTCCATACTTCTACCAAAAAAAGTACTCTGTGGAGTCAAGCTGTAATAAAAAAATACTGTCGTGATGAATTCGTCGAAAATTGTTGGATTTCGTGCTGACTTGCATATGACTTTGTTCATATCAGCAGGTGGTAAGTCATTGCAATTTAACGTTGTGAAATTTTGATTGCACCTTGAAGTCTATTCGCACTTACACCGAAGTGTTGCGCAGGTACATGTGTAGCATAGGCCACCTTGTCTTGATGTTACTACCCATAGCCACGATATTATTATTGATTTAATTATTGCAAGTCGCTGTGTTACTTCATGTTTAACTTCTCTACACTACTTTAATTTGTGTAGCGTATTTCTTGGTACTTATGCTACACGAATTTTGTGATTAAATAAGCGAAGAAATTCGGACAGATAAAGGACAAACAATAGCACGGAATAATATGAATCTATTTATTCTCGTAGTTTTTCTTCCGCTATGTACAACCTGTAATATTTAATGAAACAGGTTATAATACAATTCCAAAATACCTTTGTCAGCTCACTAGAAGGAATATTGTAAAAACGTCATAGAAAAATAAAACACAAGGTAGTTATCTTGAAACATTACAATAAATGCGTATCTTCTGAAGGCAACACTAAAAATAGGTTGGATGAGTCGGTAACAATGAAGTAACTAGGCGAATAAATTCCAATTCAGTGTCTACTTCATCTTTAACACATTCTATGAACTCTTGAACATAACAAACATATGACGAATGAGACAAAGTGTTACGTTCCTCTGATGAACTGGTGGAAGGGAAAATGTGGTTGAACTTCCTGAAGAGATGTGTTATAAAACGTGAATGACCAAATAATTATTAGAAAAGTATTCATTCAGATCACATAAACTTGAATTCGCGGAAATTTAAGGTTCATATAATCATATCAAGTTTATTTTTCTGCCTCTACTGACCAAACAAATCACAAGAACTTAATCTACGAATATTTAATGAAGAATAAAATAAATTTGAATAGTATTTATATGTCTCTTGGTAAGACCCGTGATGATTATACATGAAAGCTTTCAGAACTCCGAAACATACTTCTACAACTATTCAGGCATACCTTCGATTTCCGTATAAATTCAAGATTTGGCTCTTTACCCACAGTCCTGTGATGTATTTCACCGAGTACAACAACCACGTCTTTTTCATTAACTATCTAGTAGAACGGTTTCTCAAATTCACTTTTGTGAAGATCAGGTCATTTTATCCAGAAATCAGTATACAGAAGAGCGAAATAGACCTGACAGTTTATTGCTTTCTGAGACTGTCCTGTCGATTACGAAACAAACCATGTACGTCCGTTTTTCTTGAAAGGTTCGGAAGGTATGTTCTGAAGATACATTAGGCACCTAGTTGGAATTTGTATTTGATGCAGTGTTATAAAACATATTTGTCTATTGTTTGCCCCACCAAAAAGTTGCATTGCATTTTGTTGACATCCACCTGCATTAATGTATAATAGTTGAGCAATTGAAACATATTTGTAGGTTAAGAAGGAAGATAGAGATGATTTGGCTGACAGTTCTCATATTCTTTCTCTGGCGCGACGCAATTTCAATCATAATAATGAATGGGAAGATCCTCGTGCGTATTGCTCATACAGTCAACTTCACAGTCACATAATACCACTGAGTCAACGAACCCCACGCTGTCTTAACGATAATTTTAGTGTGAAAAGCAAATTACTTTCAAAATGTCGTTATATAACTTCTGAGGTGAGCATTTCAGTTTCCATTGTTGTTTCCTTTTTGTTTAATAACAATCAATGTGTGAGTCAGAGTTTACTTCTGAATGTGAAGAATTCGCTCATCAAGCACACGAAAATTCGAAACTGAGTTCTCAACATTATAATTGCAGTAATATGACAATTAATGTGAGTGTAACTGACCAAGGACTGGGTATGCTAACAAAGATGGATAATCAAGAAGTCTCATAATGTCGATCCTATCTTCATTTGATTATAGCCGTCAAAAAACAAAGGTCTGTAAAAATCTATCTCATCACTTCGTCTAAACAGCGATTGTTTACACTTATGAAGTCCTAGGCTACAAAGCAAAGACAGTTGGGTTATTTGAGGAAACCATTTCTTTTTGGCTATTTACCAATGTTATTTAAATCTTCGGTGCTCAAGAATTTGATTTTATACGAGGTTTGTCGTTTATTTTGATGGGAAGACGAACATAGATAAATATTCATAGGTCTGACTGGCCTTAGTAAATCGCTGGTTATACATGTATCATATGTTTATGAATGCTGATTGAAAGATTGTTACTGAGTAACACAGTTACTTTTGAATCGTAGCATTCGTTGCATTGGGAAGTGAGGCGATGTGCTCACTGAATATTCAACAGAAACTGTTCACTGTCATGGAGTTCTGTTTCTTGAGCGTATTTGTTCTGTTCACTATAGTCCAACGTGCTTAATAGTGAGCGAATTTCCGAACCGTGGGTGTAAGCAGATTGACAATCATAAACGAGATAATATTGGGTATATTTAATTGGTGTTAATGATCGTTAAAAGGTCAGTTTTCTGGTAAAGCTGTGATCTGCTTTAGGTTGAGTCGAACGATTTCATGTTAGATAAGTTTGTTTCATATTAGAAACTCTAGTACATTAGTTTTAATTTGGTGCCGTCTGAAGCATAATTTCTTGTTCGTTAACATAATAGGGCACTAACACAACTGTTCAATAAAATTATCCGCTGTGGAGGTATACTCTACCCTAACTGTACTTTTATATTAAGTGAGGTGATCTCACTTCGTTTTCCATAAGTAGTTTAGTCAAATGATGTATGAACCGCTCAACAGTCCCATTTGTTCTCCTTTATGGATGTGAGATATGGTCATTGAAAGTGGAAGACATGAAATGGTTGGTTGTCTTTAGTAATAGGTGTCTGCGTTCTATCTCTCGTTTTAGGTTGCATAATAGGGTGAGAAGTTTTGACGTTAGGAGTCGAGTGTTAGGTAAGGCAGGAAAATCTATCCTTGGGGTTCTGAAGTCACATCGATGGAGATGGACATGATATGTTCTATGCACATCTAGCTATCGCCTTTCTCGACGAGCAATGTTAGTTTACATAGGATCAGTCTGGAAAAGGGTTAGTGTACATCAAACCAAAAACACGGAATCAGTCCATGCTAACCTTGACGGTTAGTTTGAGTCAGCCACGTAGGCCGGTGTAGGCTAACTGGTTCGGGTCCTCTGCATCATAAGAACCAATGAAGGCCGGAGAAAATTGGTGATATGGCTCGAAATTATTCTTAATGGCGCAGATGCCCACTAAACCGTCATGTTTTTCCATGTTACTACTCCTCCCTCACATTTCTGCAGGTTATAGTTCTTCTGGACTTTTGTCTTTCGTTTGTGTGCTACATGGAGTGTGGCAACTCGAGCTGCTGTACTTCTTTACAAATTTATATGTCTAGACTAGTCAGTTGGTTCTGTCAGCCTCTCCCTTCCACATTATGATAATATTGATTACCACGATCTTATTGAGTACGTAATAATAACTTCATCTTATAAAGATATATGTAGCAGTCTACCTCTCAGTCATTTAAAAAGCCTACGCCTTAGCTCACTAAGTCAAACTGATCTTACTAACTTCAATCCTAGTGACAGTATCATTCACCATCGTACGTTAAATTAACGTGTAGGCTTTTATTGGGAATGGTATTGCACAGGTATGTACTCTGGATGGTGAACAATTTACACTTGTTGGATGAATGATATTTTTCAACTGTTTGGACAAACAGACTGAGTCCTGAAAAAAAGAGAAAGACAACTTTGGGTATCATTTAGCCACAGCTTTAATAGTACAAGAAATAAGTTGTTTAATATGCGTCACTTTCCAATCAAATTTTTTCAAAATTGATGGAAAAAATGAAATCATAGTTTAATTTCGTAGTAAATATTGCGTTATTTAAGAACGCGAAATGTTTTGCGTAGGATTAGATGTTAATCGATTATGATTATTGTTATTATTATTACAGCAACATATGATCTGACTGCACTGTTTAACAATACACACCAAGTAAACCAAATGTTAAAAAAAATGTACCACGATGGCCTATAATTTTGAAATGTTAATTTCAAACTATAATACATTCGCTGTCACCTGATATTCTACATAACCTTGCAGTTTTTGATCACTTAGTTCAACGTGTTTTCACATTACATTAGGTGAAAATATTACCATCCGTTATACATACGGCCGTTCTATTCTTATGTCCTATAGAAGTGAAGTGTTTTAAAATGATTTGATGTCTATGTCACTACATGGAGATAAAAGTCAGTTATGTAGGTGGTGAAGGCGACATAAATTGGTGGCTTCTTTTAGGTGATCTTAAGATGAAGTGTAAGTCAATGAAATATAGGAAGCTTTGATATGTAATACTCGTTTATCATTGAATTCGTTGTCTTTCGTTAGAATGAGTAGTTGAAAACCATACACGTCAACCAGTCATGCTTACAACCAGCTTGAAGTGATTTGAACACCAAACGACCGTTTCACTCAGTTTGAGGTGGAGCTCAGTAGTCTGTCTGTTTGTTTTCGACATAGAACTTTGGACCGATGTGCGGCAGTTCAAGTCGCCACACTCCACGTAGCACACAAAGCAAGAGAAGATAGTAGAAGAAATGCATAACAGAGACAGTAAACAGAGGTGTGAGATAAAGGAATAGTAATAACGAAGAACAATATATTTTCACTGGAAATCACAAGTCACAAGGAGTGGATGCATCTGCACCAGCCATTGAGAACGATCACTTTGAGCCATATCACCAATTGTTTCCAACCACTGGTTTTTACCGTCCCGAGGACTCCAACCAGGAAGTCTACACCTTCCTACGTGACTGGCTTAAACTAACTGTTGTGGATTTTATTGATTGGTGCCATGTTTTGGTTTGACCGCCGCTAGCTTTTTTCCAGCCTGACCCTATATTCGCTAACATTGCTCGTCGAGGGAGGCGATGACTGGGCATACGTAACACATGTCCTAACCATCTCAGTCTTTGTAACTTCACAACTTCGTCGATTGATTTCCCCAGTTTACCTAGAACTCGACGCCTAACCTCAATTTTGCTCACCTTATTATGCCACTTCACACGGGAGGTAGAACGCAGACATCTGTGATCAAAGACAGCTAATCTTTTCATGTCTTTCACTCTCAGCAGTTGTTTTGAGGCAGGTTGCATACTGTGGTCTGTATATTTTGGTTTTCTCAGGAGTACTGGAAAAGGTGGTGTTTGCAGTAGGCGAATTCGTTATATTTTAAGATCTCACAGAAATATTGAAAGAATCTACTAAGAATTGAATAATACTTAAAATCCTGTGTTGGTGACTTTGTTAAAATAGCAAGTCAGGTATAGGCTAGTGTTACATCCCATTGTAATACTGATTAGGGTTTCTGTAGGACTCTAAGAAACCATTATTAGCTAAAGAACAGCGTTTATTACCTGCTCTTCTGTATTTTCTTATTCCTTTACTTTCCGACTGGAAAACAGGGCTTCAAGTTAGAGCTTTGAAGTTTCGGTAGCGGTGGTTTTATTTTTACATGGTAGAGTTGCTAGCCTCATGCCCAACCTCCCCTTTTTACCGGCTTGACTACCGACTTAGTGATGTTTGAGAATGCGTCGGCTGGTGATCGGTCCCCAGGCCAAGTGCGCGGTTGGCGAGGGTCCTACCGCTGAATCACCAACGTGCTCTTCTGTATGCTATACCATTATTTCATTTTCATATGATCCCACTTAATTTCATCATTTTAAAAACCAATGTATTTTCTGCTAGACCTGATCTTCAAATATCTTTTTTTTGAACGTACATAACAAAATCTACCCTGAAATTATTTAAATTCCCACTGACACAAGATCTGAATATCAGCTGATCACTTACTCATTGTTACCTTCAGTAAAGATTTATCCAAGCTGCAGTGATAAGCTGCAACTGATGGGGTCCAGAAAGCAATTACGGAGACAATCACCAATGACTTTGAGTATTTTTGGAATTATATCATGCATTGACAAAGGTTGAAATCCATTAACCATCGAGTTTCATTTGAAAGTCAGAAGGTAAATGTGCTTTTCCGATGCTTTTTGCTTCAACTCCTGGTGGGAGCTGTGGGTTCCCACTACTGAAACATTCCAAAGGAGGGTATAATAACTAAGCAGTGCCCATGGTTGTCAATAGTTTTCTCGCTAAATTTGGTTTATGACTAAATATTTCTTAAGATAAATTGTATGTGTGTGTGTTCGTTTAGTAGTCTTTAACTTTCAATATTGTTTCGACTGAATTATCAAAATTATTTTGAATATTAGATGCAGTTTTCTGTTTACTTACCTTAATATTCATTTAGAGTGAAGATGGTTCAGATTTACTGAAGGTTGGTCTCCAGGCTGCAATAAAAGCTAATTTAGATTATATCATTGTTATTAATCCACGAGCGATAAATATACATGAGGATTTGCTTACTAAAACCATGGAGTTGTTGACTGACAGAGGTAAAAATTGTCAGGTAAGAGTTTAACTTCTTTTTGCCTAACGTTATTGCTGCGTAAACAATTACTGTTTCTCTGTGTGCATTTAAAAAATATACATGAATTAATCATTGGATAGTAGATAATGTGGGTATCTAGTCTTAAATGGTGACCAAAGCTGTTTGTTTAAGTTTGATATTAGGGCTGCCTTCGATTCGTTGAACAGAACTGTGCTCTAAAACTGTCTGTTAGAGAGGGTGTACCTGAGAAATTTGTTAACATCTTGAAAGCCCTATACAGAAACACCTCAGGTAGAATTAGGGCATACAACCAACTATCATCACTGTTCCCAACCAACAGTGGGGTTAGACAGGGTTGCTCAATCTCTCCATTTCTCTTTAACTTTGCCATCGATGACATTCTGGAGTCAGCTCTGAAGGATATGCGTGAAGGTGGTGTAGATTTTCTACCTGGAGATAGAATTTTCGACCTCGAGTATGCAGACGATGTCGTCTTACTGTGCGATAGCATGCAGGCTGCCCAAATCGCACTTAATCAGTTGGCGATCAGTGTCTGTAAGTATGGTATGTGCTTTGCGCCGTCTAAGTGCAAAGTACTGTTACAAGATTGGCAAGAGCCTGTACCTGCACTCACTCTTGCAGGTGAACCGCTTGAAATTGTTGATACGTTTGTGTACCTGGGTAGTTGTTTGAGTGCTGGCGGAGGGGTGACGGATGAGATTTCCAACCGTATAATAAAGTCTAGGGTTGCATACATCAACTTGAGCCACCTCTGGCGCCGTCGCGACCTTGGCCTGGGTGTCAAAGGTCGGGTATACAATGCTTCGGTGCGGACTGTCCTGTTATACGCCTGTGAAACCTGGCCTCTCCAAGATGAGGATGTGCAGCGGCTCTACGTGTTTTATCATCGCCGTCTTCGCGGGATTGCTTGCGTTCGATGGCATCATTGCATGAGTAATTCTGAGGTTCAGCTGCGTGCGTTTGAACACAGTGGAGATCACCATCCATTGAGTGTCGTCATCTGGAAACACCGGCTCCGGTGTCTTGGACATGTGCTACGAATGTCACCCCAGAGGCTTCCATACAGGTCTCTGTTTGTTAGCCTTGGGACGAGATGGAGAAGGCGGAGAGGTGGTCTGTCCAACACGGAGTCGTGGGATGAAGGATTTTTGTGCTAGATTAGAATCGGTTGGTGCGTCACGACTCCCTGGCTGGGGTCTGCGAGATAGCTCGAATCGATGGCTCGAAACGTTATCGGATATGGCCAAGAATCGTAATCAATGGCGGACGTGTTGCAATTTCCTTCTTTCTTCCCTTCCCGATGTTAGTTAACGAATACTGTTTGAACTTGTTAAGCATGACTGTTTTCCTTCCAGATGAAGTTTTGTATCCGTTCTCTACTTATATATTTACTTTTAATCTATGTTGTTTTATTATTATTGTGTGGTGTATCCTTCTTGGTGCCATATTGTACAAAGTTTTTTCTACTTTCAAATAAATAAATAAATAATTTGTTTAAGTGTAATGTATGTTGTTGTCAGTGAATTAAGTAAAACAGCTATATATTGCGATACCTGCAGCCAGTGTCGTCTGCAAATATCCGTCCGTACGTGCAACTTATTAGAACCCACCTACCACGACTTCTCAGTAGAACCCCAGTGACTAATGAGCAGTAGGGACCTCAGAATTACCTGCATGGTGATGCCACCGAGTGCAAGCAATTCTACAAATGCAGCAATGGCCGAACCCGCAGAGTTGACGCACATCCTCAGCTCACAGAGGTCAGTTTCTAAAGGCGTAGAGCAAGAATAAGTTTACTGAATCACTGTAAACCGGACCTTCGAAAGTCAGGCTAACGTTGCAACAATGTTGTCCCAGGTTAGCATATGCCATCAAGACTTTCATTATTATTTGACTAGAGGTCTCATTCGTCTCACCTCTTCAATGAACCACACAAATATTTAAATATATTAACTAACGATTCACCTGCGAAGGGAGTGCAGGTACAGGCTCCCGCAAATCCTGTCACAATACTGTGTACTTAGACGGCTTAACGCACATACCGTATTCACAGATACTGATCCCCAAGTAATTAAGTGCGATAACAGTTTCTACTGATAATCAATTTATAGTGTATTCCTAGTATTTTTAAAATTGTTTAATTTGATATTGCCATAATAATAACAGACAAAAACTAAAGCAAGTGATATTTCGTCTTTAAACTTGTCAAAAGTCTTCTTAACTTCAATTTTCGTGGCTATTTTCGGGCTTGAGTTTGTGTTACTCATGACATTTATTAGTTTTAGTATTTCATCCAAAGCTATTGAAAAAATGATTTCAATATTTTTATTGGCATTAAATAAGTGTGTAAGCATAATTGTTTAGATTCAGTCTTAATGAACTTATTCTCTTTCTATAAATGAATATTACCTCACACTAAACTGTATAATTGCTTTTTCTTTAAATATACAGGTTGATATTGTTCTAGGTGTTACAAAAAGATGCTCAAAAATTACCCAATCTTCTGTCAATAATAATTCCATAAAAGTAAATTCCTTCAATGGTTTATATTTATTGGGTTTAAAAGGTGGACATTCATTGATGTCTAGTGTCAGCTTACTTTGTGACAATGTAACATGGTCATCTATGTCAGCTGCTGATAGACTATGGAGTAATATTTATCACAAGCTGCCTACTTGGAATTCAGTGTGTTTACGTGAAAGATTAGAAGAGGTAAAGACAAACAGTATAATATATATTATCTCATAAGGTTTGTTTTAGCCTCTTTTTTATGTGTATATCTACTAGGTCAGTGATCTTCTAATCGTATCAGTCATTCAGGCATTTGACTAACTGACTGGTTTCGACATTGAACTTTGCACAGAAGTAAGGGCTTAGTTAAGTGTCTAACAAACCGAGTAACAATATTACTAAGTATTACAACGAAAAACCTAAATGATGAAATAAAACAGATAAAAGAGGTGTTGGTGTTGAATAACTATCCTATAAAATTCATTAGGAAGATCAGTAAAGACCAAAAGCAAAATAAAAATAATGGTGGAACTAATAATAATAATAATAACATAAATAAGAAAGAATATATGGCATCTACAGTTTTACCATATAAGGAGGGGACATCTGAGATCCCATGTAAGATTCTCAATAAAGCAGGAATTAGGGTGGCATTCAAACCTACAAAGTCACTCAGTTAGGACAAACTCTGTAGACTAAAGGGCCTGGTGGACCCAATTAAACAAAATAATATAATTTACGAAATACCTTGCAATGACTGTGAGGTCAACTGTCTAGGTCCAACTAGTAGATCAGATTGTCGGAACATAGGAATTTACCTCAGGTTAGAATGATCGATCCCGTGAAGATGGGTGATTTAGAAAAGGAAACTCAGCTGTATCACTGTATGCATTGGCACATCACCATACAATAGGGTGGGACAGAGTCAAAATTCTGAAAAGTAATATAAGTAGGTAGAGATAGAGAGTGACTGTTTACTGAATATGAAAAAGAGAAGACGTTCAACGAAGAGACTCTTTTCGGCGAATTCATTCACATAGCTGTACAATCGCATTTATATATAATTATTTGTGTGTGTGTGTATACATGAGGTTTGTCAAGTTTAGATAATTGATCAGGTAATAAAAGAATGATCTAATATAGAAACAAGTTTAATTGGACAGCAACTTTCTAACTCAATCTTACTTTAGTTGCTGTCCAATTAACCTTGTTTCTATATTAGATCATTCCTTTATTACCTGGTCAATTATTTAAACTTGATAAACCTCATGTACACACACACAAATAATTATATATAAATGCGATTGTACAGCTATGTGAATGAATTCGCCGTCGAAAAGAGTCTCTTCGTTGAACGTCTTCTCTTTTTCATATGACTAAATGGGGATTTTCAAGCCACTGATTACTGAATCCTGGTTCATCGAGCCTACACGCAACAAATGCAACGGAGGTGACTCAACGCAAATACCGGAGATATGGAAGATATTAGTATCAGTCAAATCAGAGGATAATAAATAATGTTAAGATGTAATAAGTTCAAATTATAACGTTCTAATAGGTTATTTATTCAACTATGAAAACATCTTATTCCCCGTCTTATTGTATTTTATTGATGACACTAATATTATTTTTGAATGTATTTTATCTTATATTGATTTTCTTCGAATGTGTAATCAGATTTCACTCATGTATATAAATGAAGCAAGAGAGTGAGTGTAAGTGCCTTGATATGGTTATGAGTGGCAATATAATTTGTGCTCGAAACGTGGTCATCAGTAAATATTACTGTACGACACTGTGTGATTTTATGAAAATAAAATTTTATAATGGAATTCATAAGCTTCTGGTTCAAGTCTATTTTTTAGTTCAGGCTGTGTTTTCTTTAACACTTCAATGACAATCTTTTTATATGGGTCTTTGGTCTTCTAGTTAGTTGATTCCATGTGATGGCCGCTTCATTAAAGATTACTTAACTATGCTTTTCAGCAACTGCGTAGTATGATAAATTCGCAAATAATGCATCCTACGGTTCACTGTCTTATGCCAAAGTACTGAGTAGTTATAAAATCGTATATATGAATATGATAGTTTTATTTTATTCAAGTGCATCTTCTTAATCATTTAAAAGTCTTTTTTTGATGAGATATTGCTGACTATTGTAGTAGTTTTGTTGTTCTTTGGGTTGATTTTTTATGCTGTTTCGAATTTCTGAATTTTTCGTCGTTTGGTTACTAATGGATATATCTAATATGGTTCAAACTTCTTTTTTTGTGACAGAAGCTATTGTTGTATTTTCTGTGATTTGTATTTAAGCAGCGGTTCTTTTCTGTCCTGACCTTCAACATTTTCTGTTCCTTTAGGTGTTCACTTTTCCGACATTCAGTATGTTACTAGTTGAAATAAATTTAGATTTCCAATTGATTGATTTTATTGGGCTGAAATCCTCTGTCTTTGTTGGTAAGTCGGCTCCTGCTATAGACTATTTGACGATACCTTATGGTCAACATGATGTAAGTCAGTTGATGTTGGCTTGTGGTGCTATTCAAAACACGCATCTGGGACTGTTCAGCTGAATGTACTCTCACCCACAGTGAAGTGATATGCGCTTTTCGCTTTGAGCTTCTGTATGACGACTGTTAGTCAATTGGGATGCAGGCATATTCAACTGATGAGTTCCAGGCAGGAGGAAATGGGCATCTTTGATTCTCATTGCTACCTGTAACCAACAAAGTATCGCTGTTGAGTCTGTTGGGTTGTTTTATATGAAACATTACTTCTTGATATTTTATTTCTTCATTTCAATAAGACGGTTGGAATCAGTTTGGTGAGAGGAAACCTTGGGATTATTTATTTCAAAGTCAAAGTTCATAAATAGTATTCATATCTATATTTCCCCGCTCATTACTTTCTCAGCAGTCATAATTTTTTGTGATTTTCCTTTCTAGGTATCTGAACCGTTGGATCTTTTGAATGTACAACAGTCGATTGGTTTATCGTGTGAAGATGTGCTCAATGACTCAATATCTGTTATTATTCCTATGGGTTATGGTCATCCAGATGATTGCATTGATCCTGAAGACGTGGAGTTAATCAGTTCAAAAACATCGAAATCATTAGTCAATACAATTGACTTAGCAATTCATAATGCTTCGGGTAAAAGGCAAATTGAGGTTAGCAATGTTCTGTAACATATTTTTTTTATGTTTCTTAGGGAGAAACAAACGTAGTTACAAAGGTATGTTAGGGGTTGGTTTGCAGGGAACTGATTGCCTGCAGGTTTGATTACGAGCTGACGTCATTTAGAGAACTGCTGGAAAGCCAAGGGGCACTGGGCGGCTGTTTCGTCGTAGTTTGGAACTCTCCTACTGTGCACAACCGCCGGAGTTTTAACCGAAGAGCTTCCAGTTACAAGACGAGTTCGTAGACCATTCAGCCACTGGAACTCGATCCAACTACACGTGAATTACAACTTTTGCTAATTCGCAATATGTAGCGCAATCGTCAGCTAATGTCATAGGTAAGTAACTTTTCTTTTACTTGATGCCGCTAGTTACGACTTCTCACTAGAAGTTCACGTAACATCTTGCTTAGAACCATTCGCTAGTGAGCATCAGATTAATTACCAAGCCGTCTAGTACTCTTTGGTTTTCCAGTTGTTCTCTAACTAATATCAGCTCGTGATAAGACCTATAGCAAAAATATATTCTGATGATTTAAGGCATTTGATTGGCTGAATCCGTCTAACTTTAGTGTTAATGTTGTGAGAAATTAATACTGAAGTGTTTTTCTCAGTGAGTGTGTCCCTATTCACTGCTGTTTATCAACATGGAAACTTGCATCAAATCAAACCACCATACCTTCAAGTATAATAGGAAGAGAGAGAGACATAATAAACAGACATAAAACTCACAATAAATGATTCAGGGAAGAGACTCTTTTCAACGAGTTTATTATCGTATGTATATGGTTTTTTAAGAAGTTATATCTGGTAAGGGAATTGAATCATAGGTGTGAATATATGAAATAATAATAGTATGAAATGCAATTAAAACTAAGATGTTTGTGATTATAATCATAGTTAAATGTCAAGTGGTAAAACAATTAATGTCATGTATAGAATGATTCATAGGATGAATAGAACTTGGAAAGAGTGTACAATTACGGGAATTAGTAGGCAAATCGAATAAAATAAAAACGTTACGTAACATTGTGTGAAATTTGATAACAGAATTTTACGTTGCAAAACAGGATTGAATTAGAATTACAAGTGGAACAAGTGAAATAATACTGAAGACAGTTCAAAGTGAGAATAGTAATAGTAACAATTGACGTAATAAAGGAAGAGTTTACAAACTGAATAGACATAATGAAAGGAAATTGTTAGAGCCAAAACATGATTAGGGATTACTATACTTTAGCATAGAGAGATTAAGACGATGAGACTTGGAGGGGTTGAACGAACTTTTTCTGTACACAGAGATCTGGCTTTTCTGTTTCGATAGACAAAGCTTCAGCAATACATATGAGTCAGGTACGCAGTGATTTGGGTAAATTGCTTTTCTGGTTGTAGATGGCTTTAAAGGCGGAGGATATAGAGATAGGGTGGTCATTATCGACCAGATGTTCAATGATCGCGCTTCTTATTGCTGCACTTCCACCTCTTCGTAACCATGCAGGATAGTGTTCTTGCACCCTCTTGGACAAAACTAGAGTCGAGCGACCGATATACGTAGCTCTACACGAGCAGGTGAATTGATAAACGCACATATAGTTGGTCAGCAGCGGGATCTTGTCCTTCAGGTTGTTGAACAGTAATGGTCGACTGGTAAAGGCTGTCCTCAAAGATGCCGCGGGGAATGTTCTTGTCAGGGACTGTGATATCCTCCTTTTCATGATATCGGAAGCTGAGTCACCTTTGAATTCCAAGCTCATATACAGCATTTTCTTGGGTATGGATGATGAGTCACATTTCATGGGATTCTTGTCTGTAAAAGGTTATAGAAATCCATTTTCCGTTATGATTTTCGTCAAAAGATTTATTTCATCCTTCGCAGTATCAGGGCTACATATGCGCCGAATGCGAGTGGCAAGCGACCGGACCAGGTCTCGTTTTCGACCAATAGGTACCCAGCTGTAGAAATTTGTCAGTTGACCATTCCATGGCAGCTTTCGATAAATCGATCTCTTCAGAGTTCCATCGGTCCTCCTTGATAAGTTCATATGTAGGAAATAAATACTAGACCCGTTCTCCATTATGAGTGTGAAATTTATCTCTTGATGGCAACCATTAAATACATTTAATATGTTATTCAAATTACAATCACTATTACAAATAATAAAGTTGTCATCTACATACCTTTTATACATTTGAAAACCTTGGATTGTTGACTTCAACTGACCATTTTCTAGACTGGTCATTATCTTAGTATAAATAATTATGAGCTCTAGACAGCTGTTTTTTCTTAGATTGGGGCTGCTTTTCACTAACAAACCAGGTGTCGAATTCATGGTCTTCAGGTCATGAGGTGACCATTCAACCATTTGGTTGGGATCCAGTGACCCATGCATGAATTGTAATTTCTGCTTATTTTTAATGTAACATCGCTGATGGGTCGTGGGTGGATACTTAAGTCTTGACCACGCAAGATTGATTATTCATTATTTTCTACACACTGATATTTTTTACACACTGATTTATCTTTGTCACTAACTTACAATAGCCTTCTGGTTGGCAGTTAAAATTGTACATATAAACTCCTAAATAACTGTACTGCTTAGATGAGAAGGGATTTCTTTGATAACTTATATGTTATTGATTCACATCTCATGGGAATTTTTCATATACATTCAGAATATGCCTAAAGTATTCCTTTATTTTTAAAGTCAGGAGTTTACAAAAGTAAAGGAAGATAGATTTCATATGAAATTATTGTATAAGTCAAAGTTTAAGGCAACGCTAATAAAAGGGACTGGAGAGACCAATTCTTTACGCATAGTTTGAGGTTTTCACTGTCTATAGAACGCGCTTTCGCCATGGGTAGAAGAAATAGCAGTCGGAAATCCCTCCAAATGGCGTGACCTTACCACAGGGATCACTTTGATAAGTTTCTCTACTGATGCATAATGACATGTGAGAACAAATGTTCTCGAAAATTGAACTATTGGTTGGTTTAATTTCTCCTTTTGGCAATCTTATTGTAAGAGTTTCTTGTACACGCGTAGACAATATCTTATTGGCATGTCCTAAGTGCCTAGCTTTACGCTAACAAATGAGTAGATAAGTGTACACGGACCTCAAAATCGGATACCGGTCACAGTCTACATCATCTACAGTCTACTGGTGACTAGTATGAATCGCAGCAGTGAATGAATTACATGGGCCCCCTAAAAACAATATTTTTAGCTAATATGACCTGTTTGGATGTTAAGATATACCAAATCAATCCTCATTTTAGTCTGGTGTTTGGATCTGTGTATGTACTTTGAAGTATGTTACTGTAGTGGCTTAATGGCTTTGCTGTGTTGTTACTGTTACCTTTTCCCCTGATATTCCATTTTTTCTCATCCTAATGCTTTTTAAAAAATTTTTTAGATTATAATTATCGACAGTTCACCTGCAGAGAATAATAATTCGTCAAATTCTCCTGATGCAAGTTTATTATTCACAGAGCCGTTTCGTAATGTACGTCTGCGTCCTATGATCAACATCCATTTACATCATTATAACCCATTGGAGACAAGTGTATTGAAACCGAATCGTGGTGAACTTATACACTATGCTGCAGACCGATATGCTAGAGGCTCCATGCTTGTGTTTGTCGAACCAGGTAGTTTTTTTGGTTCTTTGTGCTAATTCTACATGTTATTCCTTATTACTTTTAGTTGTTCTTCGAACAAATTTTTTCATTCCTTTACGTTCCCAGTGGAATATAAAGCTTCAAGCTAGAGGCTTAAAGTTTTGGTAGTAGTGGTGTTCATTTTTACGGGATGGGGTTGGTAGCCTCATGCCCAACCTTCCTTGTTTACTAGTCGTATTACTAGCTTAGAGGGATAGATGAGTGCCTCATCGACCGGGGCTCGAACCACATGCGTGGCTGGCGAGCATGCTACCGGTGTGCCACCCACGCACCTTCGAACATATTACCGAACCCATTGAGCAATGAGGTGTTTCGATGTTAACCTTAAATTGAGTTGATTCAAATTTCATTGAAAATGTGATTGTCTTGTAATTGTGTATGCCTGACTGATGCAAGTCGTCAAATACAAAGTATCATCTGCAGTATTCTTTCAATTGTTTTTCCAACTGAATAACCCACATTAGATACTGTATACGATCGTGTAATACCGTTTGTGGATAAGGTGTTTTTTACCAGAAAGATAGTACCATCACTGCTTCACTCTACCGTTCGAATCTCTTCCCAACCAAGAAAAAATGGATTAAATTCTGTTGCCGTTTTTTTCTACATAGGCGGCCATGATTATTTTAGACATTTTGAAACTTAGTAATTAGCCACCGATCGATCTGTTTCACTAAAAATACCTCCATCAGAGGATAGGTTTTATTGGTTCACAGAGCAGTAAGTAAAATAAGACACAAGGCAATTGCCGATGTACTGCAACGTAAGTTCTATTTTGTAATGCTCTGTTGATACTTGGTGTCCTTTGATTGTGACTTGTGAATGAGAGCAGGCTCGAATCGCCTTTGTAGCATATCATAAGCAAATGGGGCTATTTAAAATTACCATTATTTCAAAACAAGATATTCTTTATATAAGGTTGTAATTACGTTGGTTGATCTCAACACCAATAACATGAGTATAAATCAATTTACATTATCTACCATCTGAGTGAATTATTAACACATAGGAAGCACTCCTTTCTATCTTTGTGAAAAAGATATCAAGTACCCTCGATTACGTTACATTTCTTGGTAATTAATTATTATCCGAGTGTTCTTCCATCAGATTTTGAGACTGTTAATATAATTGATTAATTCCCCCGTTTTTTATTGTTATTATTATTATTTTTTTAAGGGGTTCAATTGCCAGTAAACTGGGATTCAGCTGTTTTTTATACACTACAAAGACCAGGTGTTGGAATGGGTTGTTTCGCTTACCGTTTACACTTAGATGACAAGTATATCCATCGGAAAAGTCTTTCATGGGCTAGTAACTGTTGGCTTGCAAGTTGGATTGTAAATGTACAAACAAAGTGGTATGTGTATACATTTTCTATAGTTGTGTTTTGTTTGCCTCATATCTTAAATGAACTTTCTCTTACGTATAATTGTTAGTACAGACAAGCTTTGTCAGCTGTGAAGTCGTTAATTGTGCGTATACTGAAATGATAACCTTATTGGACAGTTTTGATTTGTTTATTTATGGCTTAAATTTCTGAGGTTTTGTAAATGTAAGATTACAGGTTGGTGTTGTTGTCGTTCCAGTCGTGGTTTTCCTCAGTTTGACTTTTGTGTCTACCTCAATGTGGGAGATACTTCCGAGTGATCAGTGGGTTATGGTGTCGTGTTCCGGAGGCACATTCTAGTCAAGTTAGACAAATCGGCAAACCAGTAACACTCTTACATGATAATAATGTGGATTCATTTTGCTATCTGTTAAATGATGTTGCGTATGTACTTGAATAGAGAACCAGACTGTTTATCCTGTCTTTCAGAGTGATTTTATCAGTCAAAAGTTTATAATTGTGAAGGTGTGGTGAGAGCAAGCTGCTAGCCGATTGGTTGACACTAATCTACGTTAATGTCTAGGTCACTAATATGGGCCGTGAGAAAATATGAACAAGGCTGTTTCAACAACCAATCACAGCAAACTAAATGTGGACAAATATGATTCGCAGATAGATGGCTCTACTTTCCGAGAAATATCGAAAACAACCAATCATAAGACTGTGTTTGTCTGCTTAACTTCCGAGAAACAACCAATCAGAAAACTGCCTTTTTCTGCTTGCATAAGCCTTATTAATGTACATAAAATATATATAAATACGTGTTGATTTTCGTAATAAAACGATCTGTTGCCAGCCCTTGTCTTCTGTTGTTACAAAGGGATGTAAATATCCGGATATTGCATTTCGGTAGTTAATTCTTACTGTTGGTGCTTGTATGCGTCGGTGGTACTGTGGCAGCATGCTCTCCAATCACGCATGTGCGTCCGGGGTTCCATCCCCAGCCGACGAGGCACTTCTTTACCTCGCTAAGCCAGTAATAGGACTGGTAAAGAAGGAAGGTAGGGCATGAGGCTAGCAACCCCATCCTGTAAAAATAAACATCACTGCTACCGGATCTTCAAGCCTCTAGCTTGAAGCTCTATGTTCCACTGGGAGCATTAAGGAATAAAACAATTGGTACTTGTAAATCGTTTAGTTATTCAACTCGTCTGTAGTATGTACCTCCTGTTTATAAACAGAACTCTTGTTATATTAATTTAATGACTGCCAGTTAGAAATGTCTTCAGATTTTGATCGACTAGGTTTCTTGATGTACGTGAAAGGACTCAAGAATATATAAACATTATCTAAGAGCTTACCTATGAGCCATTATTGTAATGGTTGGCACAATCTAATAATACTTAGCGAGTCCACTGTCTTGAGTGTTTCTCTTATTTATCTAGGTTGTGATAAATTCCTCTTTTTCAGTATGTTTTATTTATTTTGTTTGAATTCTTTCCTTTACAGGTCAGGTGTTCCGCTTGTTGGACAACCGCATTTTATCTATTCACATTATTTAAAGTGTATTGATGGATATCCCAGATCATGTCGTTCACTTCATGCCATCGATTTAGCATTAATCTCTCATCAACATTTAGGTGATGTGGTTGTTACACGTGGTGGAACAGTTTCAGCCGGTATTCCAGCCATTTATGCTATAAGACACGGTGCTTATCGTACTGCGGTGTATACAACTCTGCTAGGTACAGCACGTTATTTAGGCGCAACAGATACTCAGTTAAAATGGGCGTTGGAATCATCGACACTCTCAGCGGTCAGTTGTGATAATTATCAAAAGAATAAAGTTTCACACATGCCTTTTGTTAAACCACACTACAAAGATGGTTATTAAAATTATGCTGTGTGTGTGTGTTCGGAGGATGGGAAGGAGGAGGAGAGCAGGTAGTAATGCCAAATTCATTCACTGATTTTTTTTTCTACATAATCTTCAAGATTTGTTATTTTGGAGAGCCTTAGAGTTTTTGATTTATTATTTTGAAAACTGATTTTCATGTCTTCTCTTTTATTGTTCTTCTTGTTAAAAAGTAATCAATTAAATCTTTTGTGAAAATAAAAATTTAGTATTATCTAAAATGGTGATTTTTTTTATATGGAATTTGTGAACGTAATTTAAGATATGGCAAAAGACTGGTCACTAAGCAAAGAGAATATTCTTTTCGGTTAAATTAATAATCCCCATTGAGATGTAAAAACAAAGAATTCAGCGAAGAAAATTCTAAATTAGTTTGTTTATTAGTTGTATCACACAGTGATGAAACAGTAATCATTATAATAATAATAACAGCTTTATTCCAAACGGTATTTGTGGTACAGGTATGGAATTTTCAGCGTGCATTACAGTATATTGCATCTAATTACCTCATAAATTATATAAGATTTTTAAAAATCAAAGATAAATAAAATAAAATAAAATAAATAAAAATTAAAAATTAAGAAAAAACAGCGTAGAGTATTTCATTTCAAACAATGCACCACAGGATTTGAAATATAAAGTTGATGTGTAGTAGTAGATGAGAACAACAGTGTAGTAGTAACGAGGAAAGGAAAACAAAAACTAATGGGACTATTTGTTAGAGTGCCGCAGTAAGTTTATCGTGTCATACCTAACGGATTTCTCATCACATAACAGCTGTGCCAGATATGGTATTGTGGAGTTTTTGTATTTGGTAGTCCTAGCATATAGCCTCCTATAGCTGCTTCTAGTTCTTCCAGATGAAATGCAAGGAGATAGATGCGTATAGAGAGGATGCTCGGGGTCCGACAATATTGTATTCGCTAGTTTCTTACATGACATAATATGTCTATCTACAATAGTGTTCACCAGTTGGTTTAACGATATCCCACTTGCCCTACTAACAGCTTTTAGTGCCCTTCTCAGCGAAGCAAAGTCTTTCTTAAGTAGTCCAGGAAAGACTAATGGGGAGCAGTAAAGGAGGATGGGTAGAATACAAGAATTTACAAACTGAGAAAGTAAAGACTGCTTTATGCCAGACTGCCTAAATTTCCTAATGTAGAACGTTAAGCGAAACATCTTTCTAGTAACTAGCAAGATGTGGGAAGACCAGGAAAGATCGGTGGAAAAACTCAGCCCAAGGTACTTGACATTAGATGTATTTTCAACCTCTGTGCCGTCAATGAGAGTGGGGCCATGTGAGCTAACTAGTTGCTGTAGGTCACATTTACGTCTGAAAGTGAAATTGACTACCTGACATTTAGACGGATTAAGCTTAAGTCCGTTTGAAGAGGACCACTGACTAATTTCCGACAGAAAGCTATTTAATTTGGAACAATCTGACTGAGAGTTGACAGGCATAGAAACCGAGAGGTCATCGGCATACTTAACAAAAGTGGCTACATCAGAATGAGGCAAGTCATGTAAGAAAAACGAGAACAGAAAGGGAGAAAGAACAGCACCTTGAGGAACACCAGCTAAAGTAAGTGAGGTAGTGGAGGATTTTCCATTGTAGACGGTGTACTGCTTCCTTTCAGAAAAATAGGAATGCAACCACTTATTTGTCCAGCTTTCAGCCTGTGTTGCAGCAAGCTTACTTAGCAAGAGAGACCTGGGAACAGAGTCAAATGCAGATGTGTAATCAAGGAAGGCACAGCGAACGTATTTAGCTCCTTTATCTAAACTAGAGACTATGCTATGGTGGAGGACGACAGCGGCATCTAACGTACTCCTACTATGTTTATAAGCAAACTGGTTGGGGTCGTTGAAAGGTTTTAAAGAGGGATCAAGATTAAGTAAAATAAGTCTTTCCATAACTTTCAAGAAGGGTGAGGTAATTGAAATGGGTCTAAACTTAACATTAGGTCCACTTGTTGATTTAGGCACTGGAACGATCTTGATGTTTTTCCATGATTCAGGTATAATACTTTTGGAAAACGATTCGTTGAAAATGTCAGTTAGCGGGGAACACAAGATGTCGGCGCCTGGATGACGACGCCTTTCGAACAAAATTTGTCACTGTTCATAATCATCTCATCAATTGTAATCACACGACTTTGAAACTTGAGTTTTATAGTTTTCTCCTATTTTTAAAAATTTTTTTTTATTTTTGATTACAGCTTGATTCCAAACCGTATTTTTGGTACAAGTATGGAATTTTCGGCATGGATATCGGTAGCCCAAAATTTGCAGGCCGACCATAGATATCAGGTGTGCGTCGGCGAGGGCTTGAACCCGGGACCATGTGTATGGTCGGTGAGAGTCCCAACCACTGTGCCACCGTCGCCGTTGGGGTAGTAGAATAATAATAATGATAATAATGATATTAATGACTACACCAACAATAAGGAATCTAAATCATCAGTAGTAATTCCATACAAGGAAGGAACCTCGGAAGCCTTACGCAGAATTCTCAACAAGGCAAGAATAAAAGTGGCTGGCATTCAAACCAACCACAAACTCAATTAGAAACAAGCTTTGTCGGTTAAAGGATCAATCCTGTGGAGTCAATAAAACAAAACAATTTAGTTTATCAAATATCCTGCCTGCATTGATTGTCAGTTCAAGTACATAGGTCAAACTAGTAGAGCAGGGACAGTCAGAATAGCTGAACATAAAAAACTTAGCAAAATCTAGACTGGTTGACCCAAATAAGATAAGAAATCTAGAGAATAATTCAGCCATAGCACTACATGCAGTTACACACAACCATACAATAGGATGAATGGGATAAGATGACAGTTTTAAAATCGAATGTCACAGGGTATAGGGAGAGATTGATAACAGAAGCTTTGTTTATCAAATCAAATGAGAGGGAATACGTGTAATAGGAATGATTCAACACTTCTCCCAGATATCTGGAAAATTCTACTACCCCTACGACAAATAGGAGAAGACAAAGAAAACTATAAAACTCAAGTTTCAAAGTCGTGTGATTACAATTGATATGATTATGAACAATAAGTTTTGTTCGAAACGTCATCCAGTAAATAGTACTGTTTCGCTGTATGATATCTAATGAACAAACTAATATGGAATTACTTACTACCACAGTGCCCATGTTTTACACATATATTAAGAAGAAAATTCTCTTTTCGACGATTTCATTTCCATAGCTGTACAGTTGTGTATATACTGTGAATTACAATAGATAACAACAGCCAATTTTTCTTGTGTGTGTGTGTTAAAGTTTGGCAGTGAGTGGGAATTTTCAAGAGTTGATTTGTAAGGATTTGATTTGTTTTTCAAGTTTGACAAATCAACTTTTGGGAATTAATCTAACGCTTGCTAGTGACTTACTACAGGACCTAGTTTCTTGGAGTTCTAGTGAGAAGTTGTGATCAGTGAAGTTCTTCCAGTCAAGTGTGAGGATGGATTTCCCGCCGATGTGATATTAGTTGTTGACGGTTGTTTTAAAATCACAAACTGGTAAAAGTTAGAATTGATGGGCCATTCAATCGGGCCCCACTGACTGAATGGTGTATGAGCTTGCCTTGTAACCGGAAGGTCCTGGGTTCGAAACCAATTGAGCGGAAATACTAAAGTGCAATAATATTGGTGTACAGGATTGTGAGTCACAATTGATTAGATACATGAATGAATAACTAAATGAATAGAGGTCAACCTTAAGGTCAACAGGTCAATGCGTAAAATAGATGGTCGGAAAATACAGTGCATTCAGAAATGTGAATATGTGAATGTAATATGACGGAAACATACGATGAACGAAATGTCAAAATAGTAGACTAGGTAAAATATTGTAATATGATGGCATAATATGAAATGAAATAAAACAAAAATGGAACACGGGATAAAGAAGGATAACAAAGCTTTTAATGTGAATTACATAGTAAAATCAAGATCATGGTAACAAAAGTGAAAGTACAAGCTGTTTTTGTACACGAAGTTCTGGCTTTATGTCATGTATTGTCACAGCCTCTACCATGCAAAGCAAATGCATTCGTGCCACTTTAGGCAAACTTTGCCGATCTTTGTGGACTAAACTAAACGAGGCTGACCTCTATTTATCTAGTTATTCATTGCTATATCTAATCAAATGTGACTCAATCCTATACACGAATATTCTGGGACATTAATTATTCTTTTTGATAATTTGTTAGGAAAGGTACTACAATTATATATCTATAATAAATAAAGAATTACTGTTGTTGACATCAGTGATGTTTTAAAAAAAATAATGTTGTATCATCAACATCAACCTCGCCTAGTTAAATAGCGTGCTAGTTTTCTAGCCAGTCCCAGGCCCGGGTAAAGAGGGAGGACAAACTTCAACACACAGAAGATACATTAAAAATACAAAAACTTCAAAGAATGATCTTATTCTTCACTCGAATCGGAGGGGCGAAATGACGTGGGCTGGTGAAAGCCTTCGAGAAGCCAGTCAGCTGATGTGTAACCAAGAGTCAGAATAGGTATGTGGAATGTCCGTATGATGTACGAGACTGAGAAGGCTGATCAGGTAGCCGAAGAGATGCGAAGATATGGCCTAGAAGTGCTTGGTATCTGCAAAAGCAGATGAAATGGATGTGGATTGACAGCACTGTCAACTGGAGAGTCAATAATCTACTCCGGTCACCCAGATGACAACCACAAACATACTGAGGGAGTGAGTAGCTATCATGATGTCACCAGTGGCAACCAGAGCCCTAATGCAGTGGAAACCACTATCATCCAGGATCATGTCAACAAGATTCAACCCCAAAGGAAAGATGGCAACAGTTGTACAATGCTACGCACAGAGCTACAAACAACGCGGAACAAGAAAAGAAGGAGAATTTTTACAGACAGCTACAAACAGTAGTGGACAACATCTGAAATGGTGACATCAGAATCTTCATGGGCGATATGAATGTCAGCTG